TTATTCATCTTGAGTTTCATTTACTACTCACCGTATACCTCCTACACTCCAGTCATACTAATCACCCTTAGGTAACCCCATTATTTCCTACTTCTCTATCTTTGGTATCATATTCTTTAGGAATACAGAAGTATCTCTTCTACCTATATTCTGAGCTCTGGATACTCTAAATACTGGGTGTGCATTTTCTATCACAATATTTATACTGTAAAACAGAAAGTTTTCATTAAGGAGCAGGTGTGCTCAAAATTTATTTTTGATTTGGAAATTTATGAATTGTGTGTTTAGAAACACACAATTCATAAATACAAAAGTCTGCTTTTATATAACTAAAGCTCTTATTCGAATATAACAAACTATGACAACCGTATTTCAAAAAGATCTCCTTGATTATGCTGTATCTCCTATTCGTCCTTAAGAAGCCTTGATCTAGACAATTCCACATCTATGGGAACACAGAATTCTATGCAAAACTAGTAAAAAAAAAAAAAAAAAAAAAGACTATAAAAGTATTATGCTTTGCCAAACCAGTTTGGCTCAGTGGATAGAGCGTCGGCCTGCGGACTGAAGGGACCCGGGTTGAATCCCCCCCAATGAGGGATGTGCAAGAGGTAGCTGATCAATGACTCTCTCTCATCGATGTTTCTAACTCTCTATCCCTCTCTGTAAAAAAATCAATAAAATATATATATATTTTTAAAAGTATTGTTTTGGTATTCTTAAAAATGAAAAACCTGTAATTAGCTCAACTGCTTTTTACAGTAGTAATCAAGTCTTTTTTCCATTTTAAGTAGTATAGGCAGTTCCCAACACAGCATTACCATCACCCCATCAGTTCTAACATATGGTTGAAGATAACCAGTACAAACTAGTTCATGCAGCTGATTTCTTCCAGCATTTGCACTGAGAATAACTGTACAAGAGACTGTATGAAACATTTTGGGAAGTGTTGAAAGCTTGAACAACTTCTAAAACAGTGCTCAAGAAATCCCAAAGGCCTGAAACACAGAGAGATAGGAATGTATCAAGGCCAGCTTTACCTACACTGAGCTGAGGGCCAACCCTATACCTATAGAAGAATGAAAATAGGGTTCTTCATTCTTTTGTACTATATATAATACATGACCTCTTGTTCTCAGATTTTGAAGTCAAGGTGTTATTCTAATATAGGTATAAAATAAATTGATAAAATAATCACTGAGTGAAGTCTGGGAAATTATGTTTTAGGGCAACTGATTACACACTATTTAAAAATAGGTTTATTATAAAATGGTAAAAATACATTTCTGTAGGTGACTTTAAGGCAACAAATAATTTTAGAAAACTCAAACTACACTAAGCAAAGTAGTATAACTGAAATTTCCTCTTAAAACATGGTTTCCAGATGTTAATGTGCTATAAGGACACCATTTATCTGGAGGCATGTTCTAGTTCAGCAAATCTTTAATGTCATACCACATGCAAAAGAAAGCATTTCTTATTCTAATAGATAACATTACTAAGTTTCATGCCTTAAATGTAAAACTTACAATTAAGAATAACTTACTTAAAACTGCTTAGAGTAGCACTTTATATATTACATAAAAATAAATCTCATTTGTAGAACACTAACAATGTTGGGTAATTATATTAGTAATAATGGAAACAATATAATTAGGTTAAAAGATATCAATGCCAAAGATAAGTCCATATCATTTAAAAATACAAAATATTCTGATTTTATTAATAAATAAATGAAAATCAAAGAAAGAAATAAACAAAAACTATTATTACGGGGTACTTTTCAAGGTTATTGGGAAATAGTGAACCTAAGTCACATATTTACAGATGAGAAAATTAAAGCTGAAAGAGTTTAAGCTAAACAAAAAAATTACCAAATAAACCAAAAACCTAGAATTCAAACCAAAGTCAAATTCCTGAACTATATAGAATCTGTAAGAGAACCACTGCTCTGTGTACTTAACAGGCCCCTAAGGTACCTGTTTGAAAAGCAGGTTCCAGGAACCTACTTCAGACCCACCCAATGCAGGGAGTGGGAGGTTTGGTGTCCCTCAACAATCTGCATTTTAAATAACTTACCTGGGTGAATTTGCAGTGTTGATGACCATCTTTTTGAGAAAGACCAATGTAAAGGGATAATGTATATATTTGAAAAGGTAAAAATCAACTTGTATCTGTAAAGTCATTTTTCTAAGCACTATGTGATTATAACACAACACAAGAGCAATGGGTAAGGTCACAGACCTGTCTAACTTCTTCCGTCCTCCTTTTGATTATCATCCTTTCAGAATTCTGCAAGTCATAGAAAGTTAGAGGAATATTCTCAGTTTTGGGTAAATTATGTTAGTAGCAACCAAGAAGCAATGGGGCAGACTGGTCACTGCACCAGGATTCTGGAACTAAACCTTTCCTTCTAGGTCCTCATACTGAAGATCAATAGGCTTGGTCTTAATTTCCCCCCCACCAAAACCTAATCATTTTGACTTTGCTCACATTTTTTGGGTACTCGTGTTCTGATGTTTAAAGCTGTCAGTTCCGCTTAGCTATAATATAATAATTATTCATAGTGAAGATATGATAAAAACTTTTACAAGCATTTTTCTTCTTTAAATATATACTTCCTTGTCAGACTATTAGATGTTTTCTAGTTTACTTATCTTTACAGAAATGAGCTAAAATTTATACATAAAGATCTCTAAATTCAATAAAGCAATTAAAGAAAGCAAATCACTAACAAGAGGAGTATTCTCAAATTCACCTTTGTTAACTGGACTGTAAGACCAAATAAAGGTACATGCTGAATCCTTAAAAGCAAGAAAGTATCAAAGAAGATTTTGAGATCTTGTTCAACAATATGTTAAGTTCAGAAAGCTTATCCTAGAATGACTACTATATTTAAGAGCCTAATTTAACAGGGAAACCAGAACTAAGCTCAGAACAAATATGTATCTATTATGGAGTATTTCCCCCAACCGAGAATATACCAACACACCATAATAGATCAATTCCCCAAAAACATATTATGAACATTGCTTTCTATGCAAAGTTAGTACAGATAAAGACACTGAGAAATGATCCCTCATTTAAAATCATATACACATCATTTAGCTTGAATAAAATGTAATTTCCTTTAGAAATAAACTTAATTCTAATATTTTTGTCTAAATGGAAAAATAAACAAGACAACTAGACATGTACTAAAATAAGGATGAACACACATTTGTCAGGTGTTACATATCATCTTCAGCATTCTATATTTACTACATTTAAACTGTCACTATCAATCCCTTTCCCCCATATTGCTCTTTAGTAGCAAATGCTTGATAAAACTGGACTGAAGATTCATTCCAAGACAAATTTCTTTCATTAAAAGAAAGAAAAAAGCCAAATAAACACTAAGGTACTGTGATTTGAACTAGTATTATACCAAACACAGGCCTACACCTTGGAATGTCTTACTCCATAGTTAAGAGCCTCTGAAACTGCAAAAATTGGATAACCCTTGGTTCATGTAATGTTTAAAGCTTCTTCCTCTATTTCTATGTTGTGCCATTCTGTACAATACTTTTTGCCAAACAATAATTTATTGACCAGAATCAGGTCCCAGATAGTTGTTTTCCTAATTATGTCTTCTATGCTTCACGAACTAAAACTCTATTTGTTGACAGATATACAGATAGCTCAAGCCACCTCTATATCCTTGCCTCTTTGCTATGGCATTCAAGGAATCCAGGGACTGAGTTCTAAGAACACAAATTAATCCAGCCTCAATTTACCAACATTGTCAGTCTTGGCCAATCTCAGATCTTATTATTATTCTGGTTGTTGGTTCTATTAACACCTACTATGATAGAAAGCAGGATGACAGCTCATTTGAAATAAGCTATATTTTCAACCACGTCAGAAGTATTAGGAAAGTAAAGATTAAAGGGACCCCTTTTAACCTCTTCTCACTCATCCTAAAAATCTGTGTTAACACCTAAGTCTTTTAAAACATTTTGTGGTAGGAAAAATTACAACCACTTTAGGATCTTGAACACTTAATACTCGATAAGGATTTGGTAGCATAATATTAGGCATATGTGTTAAGGATCACTTAAATGAGAATGTAAGTTCATTTAGTGTGTTGAATAAATATTAAATCCTTCACAACAGTAACTTTTATAGTAGGATTTTGAAAATAAGTAACAAAAACAATTCAGTGTTAGAAAAGCTAAGTTTTTAATACTGTCTTCATAAAACATTTAAAAACATTTTGTTGGGGAGTTACTGCCCGGTATGGGGTTTGGGGAAGAGGAGATGATAAATACGTTCCAAAATTAGTTTGTGGCAATGCACAATCCTGTGAATACACTTAAAACCAACGAATTGCATACTTTAAATGGATAAATTGTATGTGAATTATTTCAATAGTAAGCCATTTGAAAAAAAAAAAATCAAGCACTAGCTGGTTTTGCTCAGTGGATAGAGCGTTGGTCTGCAGATTGAAGGGTTCTGAGTTCAATTCCAATCAAGAGCATATGTCTGGGTTGCAGGTTCAATCCCCAGTGTGGCATGCAGGAGGAGACAGCGGATCAATGATACTGTCTCATTATTGATGTTTCTATCTCTTTCCCCCTATACTTTCCTCTCTGAAACCAATAAAAATATATTATTTCAACCTCATTCTAACAGTTATTACATTATTATTATATACTACCTAAAATATTATTAAAATATTTATTAAAAAAAAACCTTATAGAGAAAGAAACATACTAAATTAAGCCAGGTATTAGGCTACCAAAAACAACAAACCACTTGGGAGCCAGAGATAACCGAGCATTAAGGAGCCCTTATAAACATTAAACAAACAAACAAACAAACAAACAAACAGTAATAGACTGAACAGATCCCTAAATGATTTCTTCAAAAAGACTATTATTTGAAAACAATTTTAAAATGGAAGGCTTTGCTTCTACAAACAAAACATTAATGAAGTCCTCAATAGCATGAGCACTTACTCATCATACTCGATATGATAAACAACATCTTCATCAGCAGCAACAGAGTCTGAATTAGACGTAGAGGGTACATTGTCCAATTTATTTGTGCTCTCTTTGGAATTATGATTTACATTTCCATTAGTCCTTTTATAAGAACTGCCATTCTTCAGCGGAGTTTTGCCACGTGAATGTTCATCAGAAGCTCTAGTAACACTATGTATACGTGCTTCAAACCAGGAACCAAAGGTGACATCTCTGACATCCACCAATTCATTTACCTAAAAAAAAGTTTAAAATTAATTAATAAAGTGTAATTTCATCTATTGCTTTAAAAACTTTAATATAACTCAGGTTATTTTTATAGTTATCACATTTAAGAATATTTGTAGCTACTTCATGCTTAAAGTAATTTCAAAGATTAGATCAAAACTATTCTTTTTGAATTATACTATAAAAATCCATTATTTACTAGTATAAAAATTAACTTCTAAAAAAATTTTATTGTTGTCGTAACCGGTTTGGCTCAGTGGATAGAGCATTGGCTTGTGGACTGAAGGGTCCCAGGTTCGATTCTGGTCAAGGGCATGTACCTTGGTTGCGGGCACATCCCCACTGGGGGATGTGCAGGAGGCAGCTAATCGATGTTTCTAACTCCCTATTCCTCTCTGTAAAAAATCAATAAAATGTATCTTAATAAACAAACAAACAAATCACAAGATGGTGGCACGCATAGCAGAGGCTGGGTTTCCATAACGAGCTGAAACAAGCCATCATTAGGGCCCTGAAGCTGCATAATGCCAGGGCAGGGGACCTAAAGCTGTGCCCCCTGCCTGCCTGGCAGGGCTTGATGGGAGGACCTCCAGACATGCCCCCTTGCCCAGTGGGGCTTGACAGGGTACCTCAAGGTGTGCCCCTCTGTCTGGTGGGGCTTGAGGGAGGACCTTAGGCCGTGCTCTGTGCCAGGCCGGGGACCTGAGGCCATGCGCCCCACCCTGGCTTGACAGGGGGCCCTGGGGCTGCACCAGTTTGACAGGGTGGGGCTGGCCAGTTCTGGATTTGTGCGATTTTGAGGCATGTGGATGGGTGAAGATGTGACTTTGGGTCAGGTGGCGTGCCACAGACTCTGACAGGAAGAGGACTTTCATATACATTTTATTAATTTACTTTTGTCTCTAACATTTCTATTACAGAGAAAGGGCAAATAGCAATCTTACATAATAATAGACAAACATGCAAATTGACCGTGTATCTACAACACCACCAGCCAATCAGGAGTGATATGCAAATGATCCAAACAAAGACGGCAGTTAATTTGCATGCACAGGCATGTGCCCCCCCCCCCCCCCCCCCCGTCTCTCAGGGCCTCTGGGCAGTGTGGGAAGGCGGGGCCAGAAAGGAAAGAGGCGGCTCCCAGAGCGAAAAGAGGTGGCTTTAGGGCCTGAGCAGAAAGGGGTTGGGCTGGAGTGGAAAGCATGAGGTACAGATGAAATACTTAATTTGCATATGAAAAACCTATTCTAGCAGGAATCTTCATGCATCAGGCTTCTAGTACTATATAATAAAAGCCTAATATGCAAATCAACCTAAGGGCTGAACAACTGGTGCAATGACTGGTCACTATGATGCACATTGACCACCAGGGAACAGACGCTCAACGAAGGAGCTACCACCAGCTTGCAGGTTCCAGGCCAGCCAAGGTGGGTGCCAGGGAACACCCCAATCGCCCTGCCAGTCATCCCACAGAGAAAGGCGACCAGCAACAGCAGTGAGGGATAGGGCCAGCAAATGGGTGGCGTCAGGCTGGCCAAGGCAGGTGCCAGTGGAGGGATTGCCCCACAGATCGGCCCTGATCCACCAATCAGGGGCCCTACACATGCACAAATTTTGTGCATTGGGCCTGTAGTATTAAAATTATTTCCTCTAGCCGAAAACGGTTTGGCTCAGTGGATAGAGCATCGGCCTGCGAACTGAAGGGTCCCAGGTTCGATTCCAGTCAAGGGCATGTACCTTGGTTGAGGGCACATCCCCAGTAGGGGGCGAGCAAGAGGCGGCTGATCGATGACTCTCATCAATGTTTCTAACTATCTCTCTCCCTTTGTCTCTGTAAAAAATCAATAAAATATATTTTTTAAAAAAATATTTCCTCTAATTCCCTTTTAATGTGCACGATTTTGTGCACCAGGCCACTAGTTAAGTATAATTACCCACTCATGATATGCATATAAACTGTATGGAAAAATACTTTTAAATTCAGAAGTGAAGTTTCTGAACATTACATTTGAATGGGTCAAAATGCCTATAAGAAAAGGGTTAAAACTCTTCTGAAAAACCTGTGTTTTGAAGACAGCTCAGAAGAGAATAATGTAAGTTTTCTTGGCAGTATCCTGTTTTCATGTTAGTCATAACTTGCTTAGTAATCCATTTGAAATTAAAAACTGAAAAAGTCCAAGGCCACCAAATGTACACCACCAAGAAGTCAACCTTAATGCAAACTATGGACTGTGGGTGATGGTGTGTCAATGTAGGTACTTCAATTCTAGCAAATGTACCACTGAGGTAGGGGATGTTGGTAATGAGGAAGGCTATGCATATGTTTTGGCAAGGGGTATCTGAGAAATCTCTGTATTTCCCACTAAATTTTGCTGTGAACCTAGACTAGTTCTAAAATGTTAAGTCTATTGCCCTGGCCAGATAGCTGTGCTGGTTAGAATGTTGTCCCTATGCACCAAGCTTGTGGGTTTGATAAAATGGTCAGGGCATATATAAGAATCAATCCATAAAAACTAAGTATGTGAAACAACAAATTGATTTTTCTCTTCCCTTTCCTTTCTATATCTAAAATAAATAAAAATTTAAAAAAAAATGTAATCTATTAAAAAAAACTAAAAACTAAAAACCCTAAACACTTTCTAATAAAAAAATATTGTTTCATGACAAAGTATACATGGTCAAGGTACTATGTTCTTTTAATATATAGTTAATTTTATTTGCTAAATATAACTTAGACTTTATATGAACATGTTAGTAATATTGGTATGGTTTTTATCATGTTTTGCCATGGCTGGTATGGTTCTGTGGCTAGAGTTTCAGACCTAGGACCAAAGGGTCATTGGTTTGATATCTCAGTTATAGGGTTTGCAGGTTTGAACCCAGGGGCCCTGATCAGGGCTCCTGTGTGAAGGCAACTCATCGATGTGACTCTCACATTGATGTTTCTCTTTCTCTCTCTCTGCCTTCCTCTTCCTCCTTACCCTTCACTCACTCTTAAAAACAATGGAAAAAATATCCATTTTTCCCCATTATTTTTGAGGATTTTTAAAAAGAATGTTATTATTATTATTTATAAAAGCAAAAGTCTCCCATTTCTATTTTTTTAAAGAATTTCTTGTCCAGTTTTTTATTTATATATATGTTTTATTGATTTTTTTACAGAGAGTAAAGGAGAGGGATAGAAAGTTAGAAACATTGATGGGAGAGAAACATCAGCTACCTCCTGCACACCTCCTACTGGGGATGTATCCACAACCAAGGTACATGCCCTTGACCGGAATAGAACCTGGGACCATTCAGTCTTCAGGCTGACGCTCTATCCACTGAGCCAAACCGGTTCATGTTGATAGAAGAAGGAATAAATATCGAAAAGATGTCAATTCTAAGCTGATCTATATATAATCCCCATCAAAATCCTTCCAAATTTTTCTGTAGTTTTGACAAGCTAATTCTAAAATTTTACATGCAAGTGTTAAAAGCCAAAAACCAAGACACCTTTGAAAAGAAATTACATTTGGATATATCAAAACAGCATTATGGTACTCAGAGCAGCGTGGGCATAGGGATAGGCAAACAGACCAATGGAATACAGTAGAGAGCAGTTTGGCAATATCTATGAGTGAACAACTAACACTTCTATTTCTAGATAAAAATTCCTGGAGAAATTCTTGAGCACTCACACCAAGATACAAATAGAAGGTTCATAGCAGAACTGTTTAAAACAACTGAAAGTGGAAACAATTCAAATAGCTAATAATATTGTGACAAATTAATAAAATAAAATGAAATAATATAAAAGTGAAAAATAAAGCTTTACCCTAGCTGATGTGGCTCAATGGATAGAGTGTCGGCCTGTAGACTGAAGGGTCCTAGCTTCATTTCTGGTCAAGGGCACATACCCAGGTTGCGGGCTCGATCCCCAGTGGGGTGTGTGTGTGTGTGTGTGTGTGTGTGTGTGTGCAGGAGTCAGTGGATCAATGATTCTCTCTCTCTCTCCCTCTCTGAAATCAATAAAAATATTTAAGTGAATAAATAAAGCTTTATGCAGAATCTCTCAAAGTTGAGAAAAAGTAAAAATCCATTATATAAAATCCAAATACAAGCAAAAGAAAACATTTTGTTTAGAAATGTTATATTAACAACACTATAGAAAAACAAGAAAATTATCATAAAAGTCAGAATAAGTAGTTTACCTTGTTTTGAGAGGGAAATCTGTTATTGGTAGGAGCATATAAGAGGCTTTAAAAAGAAACTGGTATAATTCTACTTCTTAAATTTGGTGGAATTACACAGGTATTTGCTTTATTATGCTTTAAATTCTACCTAATATATTTTACATTTTTAAAAAAATATATTTTATTGATTTTTACAGAGAGGAAGAGAGAGGAATAGAGTGTTAGAAACATCAATGAGAGAGAATCATTGATCAGCTGCCTCTTACACACCCCCTATGGGGAATGTGTCCGCAACCAAGGTACATGCCCTTGACCGGAATCGAACCCGGGACCCTTCAGTCCGCAGGCTGACACTCTATCCACTGAGCCAATCTGGTTTTGGCATATTTTATATTTTTAAAAGACTTTAAAAAGTATTAACAGCCCAAGCTTTACTTTCAAATGGCAATCAATGTACTTATTCACAACATCCTGAAGAGAACAGATTAACAAGAATTATTAAAACATTTTTTATCTTATTTTACTAAAAATTTTTTTTAAAACACCACACTTTTAATTTCAGAGAGGAAGGAAGGAAGGAGAAAGAGATAGAAACATCAATGATGAGAAAGAATCACTGATCTGCTGACTCCTGCTTGCCCCACATTGGAGACTGAGCCAGCAACCTGGCATGTGTCCTGACGGGAATCGAACCATGACCTCCTGATTCATAGGTCAACACTCAACTCTGAGCCACGCTGGTCAGGCTAAAAAGTTTAAAAACTGACTTTAAGAGAAACATCAATGTGAGAGTAAAACTTCAATTTGCTGCCTCCAGCACCCCCTGCACGGGAATTGAGCCTGGAATCTAGGCTCGTGCTCTGACCTAGAATCAAATGGGCAACCTCTAAGTCACACTGGCCAGGACACAACTAATAAGAATTCTGAATACAACGTACCTTATATATTCCAATGTCAGGCTCAATAAGCAAATCACGAGCTGATGTAGGTAGCTGACTGGAAGATCTCACCCTTGATGCTTTCTTCACTTTAGGTGGATTATCAGAACAGGGTTTGGCCTGCATATCACTCTGTTTAGATGTGCTAGGAAGATCAGAGTCTGGGCGAGCTAGTAGCTGAATTATATCATTCAGTCCAACATCATAGTCAAATAAAGTATATCCATCTTCCAACTAGAAACAAAAGATAGAAAAAGATTAAAATGCTTCCCTCAAAACTTGATTTTTCTGTATCTTTAGGTACCCAAAGGTCCTAGTCAAATTATTAAAAATACATAGCATTGCAATTTAGAGATCCTGAAACTATTCCTATTACTTTATGGCCTCTGATGTCAGTATCTTCTCAGGACTTCAATAAAATAAAAATCATTCCATATTAGCTATAGGGTACACTGATAGCCACTAAAACAAAAAACAACACATCATTGCTATTATGACCCCATCACCTAAGGAAAAAAAAAAAAATCTAGATTTCTCACCAAATTTTATTTCAATGAACAGTGCCTGAATGCACTGCAAGAGAAATGTTTTATGAAAGTGACTTTTTTTTATGACCTTGTGTTCATAAAGACATTAACCATTTCATCTTTCCAAAGATTGTCATTAAATTTTTTTAAATCAAGCAGAAAAAAACAATTCAAGCAGGAATAATTACATGCTTATGCTATTCCACGTGCCTAAAGTTCTCTAATTACATCCATTTCTTTTTTGAGAGAGAAAAACTGATTGGTTATGTCCCACATGGACATGAATGGACCACCACCACAGGAAATGGAAACTTTAAGCATAGGGATGACACTCAAACCAACTAAGTCACACTGGCCAGGGCACATCCATTCCTCAAGCTTTTAAGTTATATCATGAAAAGTCTTCCCGATTGAATAAATTATCCTGCAACTTACCCATATTTTAGCAAGGTCTCTATAATACACTGAATTGTGTCAATTCAAATATTTGATATCCTAATACCATCTAACTCAGAATGTGACACTTGGCAAAATGGTCTTTACAGAAGTAATCAAGTTAAAACTAAGTCATATAGGTAGATCGTAATTCATTGTGATTGGTATTCTTTAAAAAATAAATAAATAAATAAATAAATAAATAAATAAATAAATTATTGATTTTTTACAGAGAGGAAGAGAAAGGGATAGAGTCAGAAACATTGATGAGAGAGAAACATTGATCAGCTGCCTCCTGCACACTCCCTACTGGGGATGTGCTTGCAACCAAGGTACATGCCCTTGACCGGAATAAAACCTGGGACCCTTCAGTCTGCTCTACTCACTGAGCCAAACCGGTTTCGGCATGGTATTCTTATAAAATATTGAAATTTGGCCCTGGCTGGTGTGGCTCGGTTGGAGCATCATCCCACATATCAAAAGGTAGCGAGTTCCATTCCTAGGTCAGGACATATATACCTATGTTTTAATTTGATCTCTGTTTGGGGTATGTGCAGGAGGCAACCGATCGATGTTTCTCTCTCACATTAATGTTTCTCTCATATTGATGTCTGTCTTCCTCTCTCAAATCAATAAAAACCTATCCTCTTGGTGAGGATGTAAGAAAGTAAACACAAAGTTGAAACTTGGGATAGAAAGACACAGAGGAAGGTGCAAAGGCACACGGGAGGAAATAACCATGTGACTGGAATGATGCATTTACTACAAGCCAAAGAACATCTAAGATTGCTACGGTAGCAAACACTAAAAGCTAAAGGCTAAAAGAAGCAAGGATGCCTTGATTTCAAAGGGATAGTCTCCAGAACACAGACACAAAAATTTCGTACTTTGTTACAGAAGGAAGCCCTAAGAAACTAAGTCTCCATTTATTTCTTTGTAAAATTCGCTGGTCATTTCACTATGATACAATAAAACTAAACTCCTTCAAGATTAGAACTATCATTTCCCTAGGCACATCAACAATTTAATTATTGCTCATTTCCCCCTCTTTTATGTAATTACCTACCACCATCTACAACTCCATTATTGTAAGACCATGTTTAAGAAGTTAACCAAAGAACAAAAGTCTGCCCTTGAATGATAAACTTAGTAATGTACTAGATTAATTTTAATTCAAGTGGTCCAGAAACACACAATCCTGCACATTACAAGTGTTCACAATTCTTAAGTAGAACAAGGGATTGAGAAATTCATAAAATTCCCAGGGGGGAAATTAAATTAAGACACTATCTCACGGGTTATTTAATATGCTTATTCCAAGTAAGTGTAAGGAGTCTTCCAAAAGTCAGTAAGCAGATATGCCTTATAAGGATGGCAAAGTTAATATTGCTTACCTTATTAAAAGACAAACAAGATCTCCCTCTAATCCAAAACTCCTGGGTTAAAAAATGCAACGTAGGGAAAAACTAAACATTCACACTTTCACTGATGCTTCTCCAAGATCCTCCCTCCCCCCCAAAGAAAACATAACAAAATAATTCTGGAACAGCTGAAAAAAGCACAATTTGGTTGAACATACGACTGTTACATGTTATGACAATAAAAAAAATGGAAGTGTTTAAAATAGAAAACAAAAACACCTCTCCAATAGCACAGAATGTGCAAGTTAACTGATAAGGCATTGCTTAAAATGATGAACTGTTAAGTGATATAACTGGAAATCCAAGGTGTTTCCACAAACATTTTTCCACTGAAATTTGAGGCACAGAGGGACCTTGAAGGTATTGGTTTTTTATTATTATTTTATTGATTTTTTTTTTAACAGAGAGGAAGGAAGAGGGATAGTTAGAAACATCAATGAGAGAAACATCGGACTGCACACCCCCTACTGGGAATGTCCTGCAACCAAGGTACATGCCCTTGACCGGAACTGAACATGGGACCTTTGAGACTGCAGGCCGATGCTCTATCCACGGAGCCAAACCAGTTAGTATGAGGGTATTCTTACATACTCAACCCCTTTCACTAGTTTCTACCAAGTCAGTAAATACAAGCTGCTTCAAAGGATACTTGGTTTAAAAGGAAAAGCAATGCCTGAGTGAATGTCAGAGTGAAGCACTAAGCATATTCAAGGTATGAGGTCCTATAATAGAAGTTAAGCTCACATGAAAATGTAACCGTATTTCTAATTATTCATGCTTACTATAAGAGCCACTTTGACCCATATTATCCACTCCCTTCCCAAATTCATAGCTATCTTTCTAGTTTTCCTAAAACAGTTATCTATTTCACATCAAGTTCCACATAGCTAAGTCACTATAAAGAATTGTAAAGAATGTTAGAATGATTTGTTACTGGAAAAGTACTGAAATTCCCCTAAACTTAACAGTTACCTGTCACTTAAACTATGCTCTGAGTGGGAAGGGGGTTGGATCACTTAGAAATTACAAACACCTATGAATTTCAGGCATGTAACTGTAAGTCCATCAATGTCTCATAGCAGAACTGCCTTCCTAGAAGATGGAGGCCCGACATTTATAATGCTAGAAAGGCAGGAATGGCCCTAGAATTTTGTTTTGCCAGACTGCACTCTTGAATTTTTACTGGATTAACAAAGGATTGTTAACAGTGATACAAGGGAAAACTAGGAAGCAAATACCAAGTGGCAGTGACTGAGAAGGCAGTGGGGAAGTCATTCCCAAGAAGCTAATGATAAGCAGGCAGGAGGGCATTAATTTAACAACTTTCATGTACCTTTCACTTATCCTACATAATAAAGAGCTAGTATGTTAATTAGACTGAACAGCCGAATGTTCTTCCGGATGACCTTCCAGACCCAGCCGGGGCTGCAAGGGCTGGCTGAGGCAGCTGTGGGGCCACGAGGGCCAAGCCCCTCACACAAATTTCGTGCATCAGGCTTCTAGCAATATATGCAATAGGCAACACACAAACACAACCTTTAAATAGGCAAACATTTTTACTTTGTAGTCTGTGTAAAAAGGAAGAGTCCACGGGCAAAAGTCAACTACTACTCAGTTTTGGTTCATACCTCATATCTACAATCTACTCTGAGGTTATCTCTAAGTGGTAACTACAGATAACTAAGGTTATCTATACAGGGGAAAGAATGAAAGGAGGATTTTTTTCAAAGTAGGAAAAGCTCTGGATTCTTACAAGATTTGAGCTGCACCAATGCAACTTCTTTTTTAAAAATATATTTTTATTGATTTCAGAGGAGAGGGAGAAATAGAAACATCAATAAGGAGAGTATCATTGATCAGCTGTCTCCTATACAGCCCCTACTGGAGATCGAGCCTGCAACCCAAGCATGTGTCCTTGACTGGAATCGAACCCAGGGCCTTGCAATCCACAGTGCAACACTCTATCCACTGAGCCAAACCAGCTGGGCACAACTTCTTTAAAACAGCAATAACAAAACCCCACCAATCCCCAGGGTGCTTCAAACTCAACCCCCACCCCTCATAAGAGAATACCCAAATGAGTTTACCCTACTTTAACCAGAACTTAACCCTGAATTGCTAATTCTCCATTTTGACCCTCAAAAGTTTACATAGCTTCTCAATTTTAATTTGCATACAGATCACCTAGGGTAGTGATCAGCAAACTCATTAATCAACAGAGTAAATATCAACAGTACAACTATTGAAATTTCTTTTGAGAGCCAAATTTTTTAAACTTAAACTTCTTCTAATGTCACTTCTTCAAAACAGACTCACCCAGGCGGTGGTATTTTGTGGTAAAGCCACACTCAAGGCGCCAAAGAGCCGCATGTGGCTTGAGTGCCGCAGTTTGCCGTCGACGGACCTAAGGTCCTTAAGACAGATTCGACTTCAGTAGCTAGGTCTGGTGTGAGGTTCCCAGGGTGAAGTTAATGCTGCTGGCCCTGCTGACCCCAGGGACCATATTTTGAATAGTAAGAAACTAATAGGAGATTGACTGTCCTTCAACTTTCATTTTCAGACTCTGGTGTTCATCAGACTCCCCTGTGGGATCTTGTTAAATTCAACTATTATACTTGCAATTCGGGAGTGAGCTGAACATCTATAATAAAATATCCACAAGTGATTATGATATACACCGAAGAGTAAAAGCAGCAGAGTATAACAGACAAAGGGGAATTTACACCAGAGACTGTGTAAATTTGTTTTTTAACCTTTTTCACTATGTGGCAGTAAAGCCTCTTGAGAAAGGGATGCCTCTTTCTAGTAAGTATGAAGGCATTTTACAAGATAAGGGCAGTCCTGTGACACCAATCCAGTAGTTGCCCTCAGCAGATATACTACCCTATCTGTGCACTGTGAACTCCAAAGAGGGAAGATGGAGATAAGTAATCACTGCCATGACAACTTTTAAGCTCATTAGGAAGCAAACACAGCTGGCGCAGTGTCTTCCTTCCCTGTCTCCTATTCAATGAGCATCAAAAGTCCATTCCTTATCCCTATTGGTTTATCACTGAGCTGGGGGGAAAAAAAAATCAAAATTACTTTATCAACTGTGTTGGGAAAAGAAGCACAAAAGGTTATTATCCCAAACACTTCCCTGAACCTGGAACCAGCTTCCTGGTGTACTGGAGGGAAATCCATTGTGTGAAACTGAATTTAACCCAACCCCTACCTTTTCCTCAAGGCAACCAGGTACATATTTTCTTTTAGCGTGTTTGGCATGGGGGCTTTGCCCAGGAGTACATTCTCATGCTTCATTTCCATCACTGGTGTTGAAGTCACCAAAACATCCCTGGCATTCATGTACTATTGTCCCTAGTACAATTCACAAGACCTAATTACATGCTTTTCACCGTTGACCAAAATATTAAAAGGTACCAGCCAGTGGCAGCACCAGCAATATAAATCTACATAGTGTTTTATACAAGTGTTTCAAAAGCGAAGTTTAGAACTAAGTTGAACACTCGTTTTTATTACAAGTCAAACACTAAAGGATCAATATAAACTGGCTGCAAGAACAGAGCAAAGAAGCTATAACATTTATTTTAAAACAAATTAAAATAGTCCCGTGGTTCACTCTTCTCTCAGAGTGTAATCTTGTTACTCTGAAATTTCTGGGCAGATTTAGAAGGGTAAGCATATCAGGGGTAGAAAAAGATTCCTTTCAAGTCCTTTGTGGTTGTAGGAAAACGGCTACCACCAAATCCGAGAGAGCTACATTTATTTCAAACCACAGGATCAGAGCCAAACTGTGGTCTATCAACGGGTGAATGCCAACTTTTTCGGTGGGTTAACATAAAAAATAAATAAAAAGACAAGAAAAAATAGGATGTGTCTGGGTCTCTGGTATAGACCAAGAGAGACTTGTGGAATAGGAAAAATCGTCAATGGGCCAGTGCACGGATATACCATACAAACTACCAGCGACGACCACAGACACATTCACCGCCAAAAACACTTTCAGCCTTTAAACATGTACCGCTGGCTGTGCTCCAGTTGCCCTGTTAAAAAACAGGTGAGGAGACTATTGAGAAGGTGACACAAGAAGAGCAAAACAGTCTCTCATATTCCCTTCCTTTCTGGAAATAACCTTTTGGGCCTCTACCGGGCAGTGGAATCCCGGTCCCGGGTTCCATCAATAGCTCCCCTTCAGCCCAGGTCTCTAATCTAGAAACAGAAAGAGAGAAAGAGAGAAAGAGAGAAAGAGAGAGAGAGAGAGAAAGAGAGAGAGAGAGAGAGAAGAGAGAGAGAGAGAGAGAGAGAGAGAGAGAGAGAGAGAGAGAGAGAGAGAGAGAGAGAGAGAGATTGCAACTCTAGAAGGAGATGAGGGACGGGGATCCAAAGTTCTGGAAACCTTGCAAATCTCCCGTGTTTACAAATCCCTTCCACACCGGGGAGGCAGAGCTAGGGTTCTTGCGCCCAGTATGTAAGAAGTTTCCGCCTCTTATTTGCGAACCGGAGCGCGGAAAAGCCGTTAGCCGGCTCAGTGCCTCCGGCCCTCCCTCCCCACCTGCACTGTGGTGGCATGGCCGCCACGGCCCGCTGCTCTCCCCGCCCTCCGGGGGCCCCTGACCTCGTTGAGCGCGGGAAGCGCAGAAACCCACGCGCTCCGGGCGGCTGTGCCTGCGGCCGCTGCCCCGCCGCAAAGGGCAGCGAGGTCTCAGGGCTCTGGGCGCCCTCGATTCCCACCCCGCCGGGCGCACCTGCACGCGGGGCTGGCGGGGACCCGGCTGCGCACCCTCCTCAGCGGGCCCAGACCCGCACTTTTTTGAGGCTCCCGGGGCTGCTCACTCCCCGTGGAGCCAGGGTGTGGGCTCTGCGCGCGCGGCTCAACCAAGCCCTTCGACCCGCGCCCAGGCCACGCATCCTGGAGGCGCCCCGCTGCCCTCGCCTCGGGCTCCTCGAGGGCTGCGGGGGGTGGGTGGGGGGGGCGCCTCACCTGCTTGCCCCGGAAAAAGAGGCGCTGGCATTCGGGCCGCACGTCGAACAGCGCCCAAACCCGCTCGCGCAGCTCCTCGATGGTGGCTTTGCGAGACACGTCCTCGATGGTGCGCGTCTGGGAGCCGTCGATGGTGCGGACCTGGATCCACATCTCGGCGCGCCGGGGAAGGGGACTGGCTCTCCGCTTTGTCTTCCCCTGCGCTGAGGGCGCCGCGCCCCGCCTGGCTTGCGCCGCCGCTTCCCGGTGGCTCTGGCTCTCCGCGGGCGGGCGGGCGGGCGGGCGGGCGAGCGCGCGCACGAGCGAGCGAGGAACACCGACCAGACCCCGGGCCCGATCGGCGGCCGCGATCGGAGATCGCGCACCCACCGCGAGCGGAGCGGAGAACGAAAGGAAACCGGAACTAGACCCCGAGGTGCCGCCGCTCACGGCCGCGCCTCACAAATAGGAAGAAACCTCGTCTGCGCCGCGCGGAGTGTTTACTTATAGAGCTTCAGCTCCCACATGGAGGTCACGGCGCCAACCCGGATCTCGCGAGATCCACAGCGGGCTCCGCCTTAAAGAGGAAGCGCCCGGGGAAGTGGCGAGGCAGCTCACTGGGCGGGGGGCGGGCGGGGCGGAGGGGCGGGCTTGCCCAGAGCCGTTACTTGCTCGTCCTCTTGCACCTCGGTTCTGGGCACTCCCTCTAGTCTTCGCATTTTGAGCGGTTGCGAGGGCTTCCACGATGGTTGCAGTTTGGGTCCTTGTTTCGGGACACGGGGGGCGAGCGACTCCTCAGTTGTACCGGGTACGGTTCTGTGGTTTTTAAAAAAAACAAACAAACAAAAAACCACCAAAAAATAAGGACCTGGCTTGCCGTTGTATGACCAGTGGGCGGCCGCGGCCTACATTTCTGAGAGAAAAAAAGCACATAAGGAAATGAGCCCGTTCCAGGGCTCTCTCTGGGGCGCCGCCCGCCACGCGGCCTAGCGGGGTTGGCCGCTCTGGGGACCCCGCTGCTTCCCCAGCGCGGGTGCCGCCAGGCCCGAGCTTCCTCCGCTCGGAAGCCACTTCCGGCGGGTTCCCGCCGCCGAGCCGAGGCGCGGCCCCACAGGCCCCGGCCCCACAGGCCTCGGCCCCACTGGGGTCGCCCCGCCGGGCCCGCGCGCGCCGCTCACCCCGGGCCTCTGGCCACAGGAGTGCGGGGGTCGCCCCCCGGAGGGCCACGCCTCGGAACCGGACGGTTCTGTGTGTGCACCTCCGTTCGGTGCGCCTTTGGCCTACGGGTTGCATGGAAAACAAAGGCTGCGAAACGACACACCTCGGAAGAAAGGACTCCTGAGATCTTTCTGGGAATAAATTCTCTTCAGAAATAGGCCTATCGCCGCGTACCCTAACCTGTGGGCTTTTTATAAAAAAGTGAAAATAATGTCTTCAGAAAGAAGAGAGCACATGAAAGTAGAAAAAAATATATATATTTATATAACTGGGACTTGACATAATTTGAATGTTGAGACCGGGGCTAATTATTACCGTAAAGGTAGAGCAACATTTTTCTAATAACCTATTAATTACAAGTACAGAGAAGACCAGTAGTGTTAAAAACAAAACAAAACGAACAAAAACAACAACAACAAGCAAGCCCCACACAGAAGGAGCAGGGAAAAAAAGGAATATATGTATATTCCTTTTAATAGACTATATAGCCTCTGTCCTTGACGAAAAGTTTACCTTCATCTATATTCTCTAAATATAATTCTTCTTGTCTGCTCCTGATTAAAGTAAATATTGAGTATTCATTCCATGTGTAAATACGATGATGGAGATATGTAAAGCACACTTATCGCCCCAATAGGAGATAGTTATTTGCTATTAAAAGATATGCCATGCCCTGGTGGAGGCATATTAAGAATTTAATTCCCTCTTCACAATGAATTTACAATTCTAAGACTTAGAATAATGAAGCTATTAAAGAATAACTTAGTACTAAACAGTATGCTTGGATGTGAACAATAAAATAAAAAATTTATATGGATGCAGCGAAAATACTAAAGTGTATGCCACCAGTTATGATCCAATATTTGTTCAGGTTAAAACAGCAATTAGAAGTGAGAGAAAGGGGACAAGAATGATCTGGGAGCTTTAAGGATAAGGGTACAACTGGAACGGAGAAGGGAAGCATTTACATGTTCAGTTCCTGGATTGAGATGGACCTGAATTGTAAATTCCAGTTTTGCTGTTTCAAGTATGATCTTGGACAAATTATTTGCTTCAATGTTCTCAATGTAAAATGGCGCTTATTACATATAACGAATGTCAAGTGTTCAGCATAGTGCCTGACCCTTGGTAATACACACATTATATTCATGCTGTTATTATGGAAAGTATTTAGAATCTAAAGCATACTCAAAAAGTGAAGAGTGCTTCAGCAACGACAGAAGGTATGCATTTTTACAGGTTGGAAGAGGTTTCATATCCAAGGAAGGTTGACTAAATAGAAAAGGGCAGAGTGTGAAAATTAGCATTCAAAGCGGTCTATTTTGTGAGCCCCAGGGAGAAACTAAGGTTTTTAAGGAGTCCACTGATGTGATTAAATTTGCATTTGGAAAGGCGGCAGAGGAATGTGGAAGGATGCCTTGGGGGAAAACTAAGGGACCAGAAGGAGGGGGATTGTTGTCAGAAAGCTTGGAGAAGAAGCAATTGAGTCCGTTTTGTTGAAATCTGTGGCAGTAGGAATAAGAAAGGATAGATTTCAGAGAATTCTAGAAAATCAAGCCTATCATACTTGCAGCATGTGTGGATATGAGGGATGAGGAAAACAGAATGCTGAGAATAATTCCCAAGTTTCTAATTTGGGAGACTTAATAAGGCTTGGGTAAATGTTGATACTCTTAACTGAACTAGAAGAAGCAGCAAGTTGGGAAAATGCAGTGATTTCTTTTTGTGCTGTGTTGCATTTGAAATGGAGAGAGATCTTACAGATGGAAATATAAATCCAAAGTTTTGAAAGGAAGTAGAAAAGTTCTGAAAGAACTGGTCAAGATCTCCTGTACTCACTTCCAGGTGGTGATTTCTCCTTCCCAATGTGGTGGGACTTACTCATGACGAAGCCTTTGGGTGGGGACAGGGGAGGCTACTGTCAAAATTAGGTATCTACTGGGACTGTATAGGATCTCTGTTATTCTAATCAATATAGATCTCAAAGGATTGGCAGGCCAGAGCTTAGAGGTATGAGACTCGGAAAAGACATTTGTCAAGTGCAGACCAAATTAATTATATCTGTGGAAACAAGCTCATATATATAATAAGTTACTTAAGATATAAATAAATAATTGCAAATAGCGATTCTATATGTAACAAAATATAGCTTTGTGTTTCTCCACACGGTACATATTATAACGACGGCTTTCTCTCCTTCCCTATGACAGTGTTGTGTCTGCTTAGTTCAAAGCTTCCCAGTTGTAAAAACAAGATAAAAGTTCTCTGTCAAAAACCATAATAGCAGACACTTTAAACATACCATGACTTCTTAACTAGATGCATAGCTGAAACAACTTAGACGTAAACAGTAAAATAAAAATTTATATGGATGCAGAGCAAATACCAAAGTTTATGCCACCAGTTCTGATCCAATGTGTGTTCAAGTCAAAATAGGCAAAACAGAAAAGGAAAAGATTGACTGTAGAACTAATTATTCTAGAACCACCTCAGAATATCTCATTTTCTTAGCTCATGTCCTGAAGTCAAGAATTTTTACTAGTATATGTATCAAAATAGTGAATTTTAATAAGCTATTTGAAGGTATGATTACGACCTTTTCAATGGCACCTCTATGCTGATTGTCTTCCTTTTGCTCCTCCAGGGCCACACTCAACCTGCTCTCTGTCCTGGGGTTCAGGGCAAGAAGTACATCCATGGGAGCAGTGCTTTCAGGCTCGGGGAGGAAGCACAGACGGGAAACGCAGGATGAGAAGAGAATGAGGTCAGTATATTTATTTCCCTGGCTTTCTCCCTGGAAGGTTACCTCCAGTTGTCTGTTGCCTTTTTGGGAAAGCACTACTCCTCTTAAAGTGGCCTGCTCTACGTGACTCACTCGTTCATGTTCTGGAAACCTCTCCCTCCTCTTGTTGCTTTGGATCTAGATGTAACAGCTTTATAGTCTTAGGTTCATGCATATTCCATTAGTTTTCTGTAACTTTTTGCCCACACCCTTTTAACTGGACCCTGGAAGAAGGAAGGAGAAACATTAAAGTACTTAACTGGAAGCTTTCTGTTATAATCTCTAATGCTGTTTTTTAAAAAGAACTGCATATTATAAGAAGCAAATTAGAATTTCCATAGATTAAAAAGCTCTTCATATTGTGGCTCATTACTTAAACCTGTCATATTTTTAAAGTGTGTCCTCTTTCTTTTTAAAAGAATCACTGATTTTTTTTTTTGCCGAAACCGGTTTGGCTCAATGGATAAAGCCTCGGCTTGGGGACTGAAGGGACCCGGGTTCGATTCTGGTCAAGGGCATGTACCTTGGTTGCGGGCATATCCCCAGTAGGGGGTGTGCAAGAGGCAGCTGATCGATGACTCTCTCTCATTGATGTTTCTAACTCTCTATCTCTCTCCCACTCTGTACAAAATCAATAAAATATATTTTAAAAAAATAAAATAAAAGAATCACTGATTTTTACTGTGGACTTCTACTTTAAAAATCATTCTAGTCTGACCTTTTTAAATGAGAAAATGATTGGACAAAGGTATGCAGTCCATGAGTGGCAGTGTAAGAGCTTAAATCCTCACTGTCCTTCCTCTCTAGCCAGTGTTTTTTTACCCTTCAGCTGTCCCTCTTTTGTTTCTCTGAAGGCTTCCCCCTTCACCTGGTTCTGAGAATAATCCTTCTTATTAGGGCCCCTGGTTCTTTGGAATATTTGATGGCTCAGATAGGATTGGGAGTTTGGGATTCTCATTAAAGACTTACAATTTAATCCGGTTTTCAATCACATGACTTCTTCTGCCTTCTGAGATTGGTCCTTCCTATTGCTGAACCTTTCTGAGGGTCTTTGGATCAATCCAGTTCATATTTCACTGAAGACAGTTAGATTCAACTTCTGATGATGGGTTCAACTTCCAGTTACAACTTGCTCTGTAAAACAAATTTTAGAGGTTTAAAATAACAACAATCA